CCCCCACCCCCCTAAAATTGAGTTTCCTACCCCGAGCGTGGACGAAAACAAAAAAAATGCATTGTAAAATGCCTAGAATGCCCCCAAGAAAATCTGGTCAAGGGGGTAAAAATTTCTCAAAGCTGCTGCCCAAGGAAAGGAAATAGGGCTTCGGGAGGTTTTTAAATTGCTTAAATAGAAAATGTAATCTTAAAATACACCCACAAGACCCCCGGAAGTTTCGGACCGGTCGTCACACTTTTAAAAAAAAAGTCGATGAATAGTACCAAGTACATTTGCACAAAAAATTTGCAAAACCTGGCAGCAATGATTTTTTGGACAAATATGGATTTTTGAGGGCCAAGATGGCATTTTTTGGAAAAACACAAAGAAGAAACCCCCCTTAAAATTGAGTTTTCTATGTGACTAGTGAGGAAAAATGAAAAAAAATGCATTGTGAAATACCCAAAATGCCCCTGGAACAGAATAGGGTAAAACTCCCTAAAAATGTTACTTAGAGTTTTTGTTTCATCAAGGATGGTGTTGTTTACCAAAGTGAGTATACAAGTGCATGCAATATGATAAAATAGATGTACCAACATGGCCTAAAGCCTCTTTGCATTCTATTAACAAGTTTTAGCATACAAAGCCTCCATTTCTCACAAATAAGCTACAATGGCAATACTTGAGTTTTAGAGGAAACATACTTGTAACCTTTCAAGTTAATGGCCCTTGGCCTCATGTCATACATGTAAAATGAATTAAAAAGAGTGTACTTATGTACACTTTACATACGTAGAATCAAAGAATACAAGTTTGATACATAAAGCTACCAAACGATTCAAGGCAATGAAATCTTCAAGTCTTGAGTCCTGTACCTGAAATATGCCCCAGTATCGTAGGGGTGAGTAACATAAAGCTACTCGTAAGAGATGAGCATGCATCGACCTAGCATTTTACAATTTTATCACCTTAAGGTGAAACATATCAAAGGGGTTTATGCCACCTAACGTCTATGTCAAAATGAAACTCATGAAGCATCCTAAGCTACCTTAAAACATTTCTAGCATAATCACATTGTTCATGCAATTCAAACAACATGGAAACATGTTATACAAAGCAACAAGATATAGATTCTTAAAGTCTTCAATGTGAAATCCAAGATTCGAAAACAACAAGAGTGGGTCATGCCACCTAACGTCTATGTTCAAAGTGAATCTATAGGATCATTCCTAAACTACATTTGAACATCAAAACACAAATTATGATATCGATGCAATTTAACCAACATTGGAATTTCCAATATAACGCTTAAAGCATGATTTCTCAAAGTTAACATCTTACAACTTAAAATGGGAAATCAAACAAAGAACAATAAGTTACGATATCATCTAGTTATCAACTTGAAATGAAATACGAAATCAAACAAAGTGGATACTCGGATGTCACGTCGGATCAGACCGACAACATAGTTACTTTAGGGTTACTAGCCCATGGGTAACCTCCCTATGTGTGCACTAGACTATATAGAGGGACAATCCCCCGTACTAGAACAAAGTCCTAGCCGTAACCAAACAACGATATCCCCAAGTTTCCAAAATCAACAAATTGTGCAACAACGTATACATATATCAATATGTATATACAAGATATCAACTATTTACCAAGCACAATCCAATTTTGGAAACTTATACAATACATGCTCAAAGTCTACAACTACTATGGCATGAAAGATGTCAAATATAAAGTATGCAATTCCTTACACATAGCAACAATAAATTCAATAAGGAAAAACATATTCTCATGAATATAAAAGTAACAACTATGTTATCCAATGCTCAAAAGTAATCAAGTGAACATACACCAAATCCAAATCCATGATTTAAATATAAAAACAACTTCCAAAATACAATTAAATCCATGGAGTAATAAAATAGAATTTAATTAAACATAAATAGTTAAATTCTCTAAATCTCAAGTTAACCCCAAATAACCTTAATTTAGTATATTTTGAAGGACATGTCATGGTCATTACATATATATCATCAAATGACAAGTTAAGTGACTAAAACACTTAAAACAAAATTAATCAAGCTAATTAATTAATTTCCTCTAGATTTTTAAACAATTCCAAATGCCCTCAATTTAATCTATGTTAGAGAACATGCCAAGGCCTATCCAAATATAACATTACATCATGATTTTATGTTTGCTATCACCATGTAAATTAAATTTTCACAAAAGATAAATATTAAATAAATTTTGTAATTCTTATCCAAATGCCCCAAATTTAATATATGTTAATCAACATACTAAAACTTAATTTTTTAGCATGCCACAATTTAATTCCATGTTATACACAAAGCCATATGAATTAAATCTCAAATATAGAAATTAATTAAATTAAATTCTAAATCCTAAACAAAACATGCTCACAAATTGTATATGCTCATATAACAATCAATACAACATAAATATAATCCTAAGACACCCCCTACCTCAATTTGAGATGAAAATCTCAAAAGCCATCAAAACGAAACGGCTCCGAATCCAACGAAACTCCTAGGTTTTGTCGGGGACAACACTATCTATATGAATCTTCAAGAAGCCCCATGAAAATACAAACTTGGCCTAAATCCCAAACTCAAAATTTGGTCAAAAATGGTTTCTAATAAGGGGTAATGGTAGAGCACGACGAGGCGAGTAACAAATGCAAAGGCCGAAGGATTTTCACTTAGGAAAAGTAGGTTAAAGGAGGAGAGAGAAGATGGCAGCTCCATGGGCATCCATGGCTGCCTTTGTTCATGCAAGGAGAGGAGGAAGAAGAAGAAAATCTAATTTTTCCTCTTTCAGACACCTATTTATAGTAAATCACAAAAAGTGCCCTGAAAGGGCCCCGCCGGGTCCGGAAAAGTGGATTTTGAGCAAACGCGCTCAAACAGCAAAACTCCGTGAACGAAAAAGATTAAAAATGAGAAAATATGAACAACAGAAGAAACAATGTTGAAAAACGAGTTCCGAACAGAAAGTTATGCCCCAAGCAAGTTCAGCGGCAACCGGGTCCAGAAACTCTGAAACTGGAGAAAAATGACCAAAACGGAATTCTATGAATTTAAAAGTCAAAAAAAAGTGAAAATGAATACCGTACGAGGATCCAGGCTCCAGACGAGACATTTTGCAACAACCTTCGTTAATTGCACAATGGCCCCTACAAAAAGGGTTAACTGCGAAATTGCGCCAGAATGAAAATATCTTCCAAAAGATATTTTCTTAGATGCCCCTGAAATAAATTATCTTCAAAAGATATTTATGAAAAACACCCCAAGAAATGAAATTAATTCCAAAGATTTATGCATCCATGCCCCTACGGGCACCAGGAGCAACCAGAGTACTTTCTTACAAAAGTAAAGATACGTATTTCGTGGAAACCACTCATGATAAAGATACGTGAAGTCAAAAATCAACTCTGAGCACAAGAAGTGAGGTTGTGCCCAAAACTGACAAACGTAGATAAGATGAAATAGGGAAAATGACAAAATAAGGAAAAGACGAAATAACGCATAGTGTCCAAAAACGAAAAATGCGAAAATGACTCAGTCCTCAAAGGAAGTTGTCAAAACACGTGAAAGAGTCTCAGAAACCAATTCTGAGCACTCGAGATGACACTAAGCAATGAAAAACAATCCACAGAAAAGAAAAGACAACGGAAAAAATTTATCCGCAAAATTTGAGGAAAAAGGGAAAAGGAAGAAAATGACCGGGTCATTACATATACGAAGTTCTGTGTACTTTGTATTTCCATATATATATGCTATTAGAGTCATTCTTAAGGTTTAAGCCTTGTGTGTGAGAAATGACATTGAGCTGCAGCCTGAATTATCTCGAGAGCCTTGATTGAACTAGTTTTTCTGAAGTTTTTGGTGATGATTCAAGCCAGAAAAACCCACTGATTCGAGCTATGTGATTGCTATAGCAGAGACAATGTTGCTACTATTGTTTTTCACTACTGCAAGGGCTGAACTGAGTATTGAATTTTAGTTCCAAGGTGCTGAGGTCTTTCAGAGAGTTGACACAGGTATCAATCACCTTTATACACTTGCTCAGTACTGAATTATTGTTGAAATCATGCTGAAATAAAAAATGGGCAGTGAGCTCATCTGTTTTACTTAATTTTCTGAGATATTCTTGGATTCAAGCACTGATTGATTATGCCTTGGTATATGATAAGATTTTAATCCCCTAGCAAGTGTATTTTGATGAATCTTGTACGTTGAAGTTGGTTTAGTGATAGAAAATTGGTCTGCTGCAATTTTCAGTTCTCAACCCTTAGTCATAGACTGTGTTTTTGTTGAAACAAGGGTTGTCTTGGTTCTATATGCTTAACACATGCTATACTTCAGTGATTAAAAGTCATGAACATGAATACCATAGTGAATGAAGACTGAGTATGATACTATTGAATGAATCTCGTAAGGAAATTCCCATTTTACCCCTCAAGATCTAAATGCTGAAAACTAATGTTATGAAGTGGTAATTTAGCATTCTGAGTTATCAGCCTTCCTTCAATTGAAGAAAGAACTTGTGTTTGCTAATTTACATTTGCTATGATTTATTTGGTGAGCTTATAGAGCTTGTTTGGTCCTGGCAGGGTTGCCTAGGACAGGGGAAGTGTGTGTATACACTTGTTTAGCTAGTGTGTGAGTATAGTGTGTGAAAACTAGTGTCTACTTCTGTGACAAGGGTGTGTGCAGAGAGCAAGACAGCTGAGTGTGTAACAGCTTACTTGCAGCTAGTAGATGATTGAATTGGCATTGGCCAAGAACCAAGGTTTTCCCTGATTAAGAGGGTTTCCTTGTAATTTTTGTTGCAGTGTTCATTGATTACTGTTTTCACTGTTTTTAAGTTGTTTCTATAAGAAGGTGTTAACCAATTCACCCCCCCCCCCCTCTTGGTCTTACAATTGGTATCAGAGCTTTGGTATGCTGTGTAGGGTTCTAGCAAGCCTACAGTTGATCTTTGAAATGGATGAAGGCCAAGCTACAAACAAAGCTCCAGGGTTCAGTGGTGTGAACTATGATTCATGGAAAATCAGAATGGAAGCATTCTTAATGTCTCACTCTTATGATGTCTGGCATGCTGCTGTGAATGGAATTGTGGTTCCTAGTCCTGAAAATCCCTCTGAAGCTGATAAAATTGCTATAGCTAATGATGGTAAAGCCAAACATGTCCTTTACTATGCTTTAAAGCAACAAGAATTCACTAGACTCAAGAATTGCAAGTCAGCTAAAGAAATGTGGGACTCTCTTCAGGCTGCCCATGAAGGAAGTACTGTCATTAAAGAAAACAAGATTCAGCTCTACAAAGTTCAATATGAAGCTTGTAAGATGGAGGAAAGGGAAACTGTAGCTGAGTATTTGTTTAGGATCAATGATATTGTCAACAATATGAAATCCCTTGGTGAAGACATTAAAGACTCAGATGTTTGCAAGAAAATTCTCAGGTCTCTTACACCTAGATTCAATGCAAAGGTTACAATTCTTGAGGATAAAGAATTATCTCAAATGAAGATTGATGATCTACAAGCTTCTTTTACAGCCTAAGAAATGAGAATTGGAACTCCAACTATTCAAAGAAGAGAAGCTGCATTTAAAGTCAAAGAAGTTACTAAAGAATCTGATCCAAAGTCTAAGGAAGATGATCTTGAAGAGGATGAAGTGGCCTATCTGTCAAAGAAGTTCAAGAAATTCAGATTTAAGAAAAGAAGTCAATCTCAAAATCTAACTTGTTATGGATGTGGCAAGCCTGGCCATTATATCTCAAGTTGTCCAACTTCAAAAGGTAAAACCAGAGGAAGAAAGAAGGGGGAAACTTCAAGGGAAGATTTGGAAGAAAGGCTCTCTTTTCAGATTGGGTTTACCTGAGGAATCAAAAGAAGATGAGTGTTTGTTTATGGCTACTCTTGAAACACCACAAAAAGCAACTGAAGTTGAAGAAGATAATGAAGACAATGACTCAGAGATTGAAGAAATACTTGAAAAATGTGAGAGACTTGCTGTGAAGTGCAATCAACAAAAGTCTCAGCTAAAAGCCTTAGCTCTGAGTTGTAAAAATCCAAACAACTTCTTGTTAAACACTTCAAACTTAAGTTGTCTACCTTATGTTCAATTTCTCTTAACTTCTCAAGTCTAAAGAAGTCTCAATCCAACACTGAATGGTCAACCAAAAGATGCAGAGAAGAAATCTCACTAATTCTTAAAGAAAGGTCTTTGAAAATGGCTGAGATTTGGAAGCAATCCAGAACGCAAATTGGGAAGACTGGAATTGGTTACATTTGTGACACTGCAACCAAAGTAAAACAAAATCACACTGTGTTTGTTAAGGCATTTTCAAGAGAAGTGTATGCAAGATTTCCAATCATAAAACCCTCAAGAATAAAGCATGATTCATTTGACAACTTCTACAGCAAGTCAAGGTTAAATGAAAGTGATTTTATTACATCAACCTTCAGGAATTACAAAGCTACCAAAATGTATGTAAAGAAGTCTGACATAACTCCAGTTCAAAAAGTTAAGGATAACAGATCTCTTGTGAAGTCTAAGATGATGTGGATACCAAAGAAAATGAATGCTGTGAGTATATTGGTGTATACTGCTTTCAAAGCTGGTAACACAAATGAAAAATGGTACGTTGACAGTGGCTGCTCGAGACACATGACAGGTGATGGTTCCAAGTTTGTATCTCTAAAAAACTTTGATGGAGGAAATGTCATCTTTGGAGACAATCAAAAGGCCAAGATTATTTGTATTGGCACTGTGAGTAAGTCTGATGAACTACCCGAGATCAAAGAGGTATTACTTGTTGAAGGCCTCAAACATAATCTCCTAAGTGTAAGCCAACTATGTGACAATGGGAAGAAAGTCTGTTTTGATAAAGAAAGATGTAATGTGGTTGATATTGAATCTGAAAAAGTCCTATTCTTAGCTTGCAGATCCTCTGGAAATGTGTACACAGTCTCAGAAGAAACTACTTACTGCAATCTGACCTCTCTAGATGAAGCTATACTGTGGCACAAGAGACTAAGTCATCTTCATTCTAAAAATCTAATCAAAATCCTGAAATTGAAAGCTGTGAAAGGTCTACCTGATTTAAAATTCAGTGACAATCATCTATGCAAAACATGTCAGCAAGGCAAACAAACTAAAGTGTCATTCCCTTCTAAAGAAATCAACACATCCAGAGCTCTTGATTTGATACATATGGATCTCTGTGGTCCTACCAGAACTACAAGCATTGGTGGAAGTAAGTACTTTATGCTACTCATTAATGATTTCAGTAGAATGGTGTGTGTTTACTTTCTGAAAGAAAAGTCTGAAGCTATAACACACTTCATTAAGTTTGTAAATCTTGTTGAAAATGAAAGAGGTTGTACTGTGAAGAAGCTTAGATCTGACTTTGGTTCTGAGTTTACAATAAGGGAATTTGAAAGTTATTGTGATGTAAAAGGTATCAAGAAAGAGTTCTCAGCTATAGCTACTCCTCAACAAAATGGGGTTGTGGAAAGGAAGAATAGAACTGTTCAAGAAATGGGAAGAACTATGCTACTTGAAAAAGGTCTTGCAAAGGGATTTTGGGCTGAAGCTGTTAATACAGCTGTATATATCATCAACAGGGTACTTCTTAGACCTAATTCATGTAAAACTCCTTTTGAACTATGGTATGGAAGACCTACAACAGTTCATTACTTTAAAGTGTTTGGCAGTAGGTGTTTCATTCTCAATCATATAGAGAACTTAGGAAATTTTGATTCCAAAGCTGATGAAGGGATATTCTTGGGGTACTCTACAAAAAACAAGGCTTACAGATGCTACAATCTAAGATCCTCCAAGGTTATTGAATCAATTCATGTTAAATTTAATGAAACTCCTCAGTTCAGCATCAATGATGACATTAGTTCTGCACCAGGATTAACTGAAGCCAGTCTATCTCATTCTGTTCAAGGGTTAGATAAATCTGTTAAATCTACTTTAAAACTTGATGACCATAGAGAAGTTACTTATCCAAGATTACAAAAACAGGTTCAAGTTGAAAACATCATTGGTTCTCCTTAGGCTGGTGTTCAAACAAGAAATAAGAAGAAACTCATTGAATTAGAAGCTAATGATGGTGAAGAATATAGTCATTTTACAATGTTATCCTCTATTGAACCAAAGTCTTATTCTGAAGCACAGAAAAGTGAAGATTGGATGGTTGCTATGAAAGAAGAACTTGATCAAATTCACAAGAATGACACTTGGACACTGGTTCCTAGACCTGCAGCTAAGAATGTTATTGGTTCCAAATGGATTTACAAAAACAAACTTGATGAAAAAGGGACAGTTATTAGAAACAAGGCTAGATTGGTGTGTAAAGGATATTCTCAACAAGCTGGTATTGACTATGATGAAACTTTTGCCCCAGCTGCTAGGATGGAATCCATTAGAATGCTCTTGTCTTTTGCTTGTCACAAGCAAGTCAAAGTGTATTAAATGGATGTTAAGTCTACCTTTTTGAATGGAGAGTTAAATAAAGAAGTATACCTAGAACAACTTGAAGGTTTTGAAGATCCTAAGTCTCCCTCCTCTGTTTTCAAGTTAAACAAGGCCTTGTATGGTCTCAAACAGGCTCCTAGGGCTTGGTATGAAAACTGCATCAGTTCTTGATTGAACAAGGTTTTCATTGAGGAAAAGTGGATAGTACTCTTTATGTCAAGCTTCATCAAGATCAGTTCCTTATTCTTCAAGTCTATGTTGATGACATTATGTTTTGTGGCTCAAATACATCTTTAGCCTCAGAGTTTGCCAATTTAATGAAAACTAGAATTGAAATGTCTCTTTTGGGAACTCTTAGATACTTCTTAGGTCTTCAAATTCATCAAACCTCCAAAGGAATCTTCATCTCTCAACAAAATATGCCTCTGAGTTGCTTATAAAATTCAATATGACTGAGTACAAATCTGTTTCAACCCCCTTGTGTCCTAATTCCAAGCTGTCTCTTGAGTGTACCATGAAATCAGTTCCCTCTACTCTTTATAGGTTTATCATTGGCAGTCTATTATATCTCATAGCTTCAAGACCTGATATCATGTATTTTATAGGGTTGGTAGCATGGTTTCAAAGCAATCCTAGACTCTCTCATCTTCAGGCTGCTAAAAGGATTCTGAGATATGTTAAGGGTACTATTTCCTATGGTCTACATTATATCTTCTCATCTACATTGCCAATCACAGCCTTTTCAGATGCTGATTGGGGTGGATCCTTACCTGATAGAAAAAGTACATCAGGCTGTTGCAATCTTCTTGGTTCCAACTTAGTTTATTGGTTAAGTAAAAAACATGATATTGTCTCTCTGTCTACTTCAGAAGCTGAATACATAGCTGCTTCTCAGGCTGGTTCTCAACTTCTCTAGATGCACACTACTCTTGCTGATCTTGCGTAATACCCCTAGTTTTAAAAGGATAGTCCTGTCATTTTTAATTATGTATTTAGTTGCTTGAATTATATGAAATATTTGTTTTATTTGAATTATTGGATTTATTTGAATTATTTGATTATTTGATTTAATTGTTTTAGTTAATATAATTTCATTGTTTGATTTAATTAGAATAAATTGTTTTATTAAATTTTAATTTTATGTTTCCTTTATGGGAATTTATTTGTGGAGTAATTAGATTGAATCTGTATCAGTTATAAGGTGTTTAATTAATGACAGGTATAGTGTTAAACAGTAGGGTTCTCTAAGAAGTTACGATTATATAGCCGATGTATAGTATAACTTGGGTGGTTTGTGGGCCGACTAAGATTTACATTAGGGCTCTGGATCTAATTTTATAAGGATTAGGGTTTAAGTGTTAAGCCTATAAATATGTTATCACGTAGGTTTAGGGTTTTGGGCAAAACAAAGGAAAAACAGAGAGTTAGTTCATAAAATGGAGGGTTGAGAACGAAGGCATCTTAAGGACTGTCAAGGAGAAGAACAGAGAGGACCAAGCGAGGGTTGTGGTGGATTAAACCAAAACCATAAGGGGCTTGAAGGTGGTTAGTAGTTGCCGAAAATTAGGAAGACGGCGACAAAGTTTTGAGACCAAAACTATAGGCAAGTTCTTTTCTTTCTCATTCTCTTTGGCTCGTGTTCTATGCACCGAGGTAGTCTCTAGGGTTAAATAAATCATAAACTAGAACTTACATGTGTATTTTATAATTTATTGATGCTCTGTTTGTGTTGTAATCGAATCTGTTACAAATTCGTGCCTGATTATTTCAAGTTGTGTTTCTTTAAGCATGTTAATCCGGTTGTAATTTTAGTTATTTTACTTGCTTGCAACCACTGTAAATAAGTCATGGGGATGCTTTTAGGCTTACATAAGGTTATTAGATTAGTTTTAAAAACCAAACAGAAAGGTTGCAACTGGCCGGAGTGGGAGCAGAGGTCAGAAACGAAGCTGGAACGGAGAGAAGGCTCACAGGGGAAAGAGAGCTGGCTCTGGAATGTTAAAGCCGTCTCCCACCTGTTTAGAGCTAGCTCCAAAGTTGTATGGAGCTGGCTCTATAATTTTTTAGAGCAG